GGGTGCTGAGGATTGAACTCGGGTCCCTGCGCTTGCAAGGCAGGCGGCAGAACCACTGAGCTAAATCCCCGGCCCTCACTGTTTTACTTTCTGAGGTTTCAGTTACCTGCACTCAACTATAGTCCAAAATATTAAATGGAAAATTCTAGAAGTAAACAATTTATGTTTTAAATTGTACTCTGTTCTGAAGGTTACGTGAACACATGTACTGTGATACTGAGATTGTTGATCTGGTCACCGAGATGGTGACTTTGTGACTAGCTTTCAGTGTATCTCCATTGAACAAAGGGATGATTCATCTCCTGGGTAGGAGGAGAGGATCAGCACAAGATTTTATCACCTATTCAGAATGGCTTCCTGGGGATCAGAGGACAAAATCAACAGTAGCCTAACACTAAATCATTCACTGTCATTCACCTCATGCCACCTCAAGCTGTAGACATTGTGTCATATCAACTGAATTCATATAACTTATTACAGTATGTTGTTATAACCATCCTATTTTACTTTTACTCGTTGTTAATCTTGTACTGTTTCTAATTTACAAGATGAACTTTATCATAGGTACATATGTATAGGAGAAAAAACTGGTACATGTAGGTTTCATTACTCTCTTCAATTCCGGGCACCCGCTGGGGATCTGGGAAAGTATCTCCTACAGACAAAAGGGAACACTGCAGTCACTTTAGTAAAAGGGTGCTTACTTGCCATTGCACTACTGATCCATCAGCCTTTCATAGTTCTATAGGAACCTAGGATGCAGGTGTTGCCTAGAGAATCTGGATGTAGGTGTTGTTCAGTCGAGGTGAGCACCTTTACCTTGAGTGCTGGGCAGGAGTAAGGAATTTCCAAGCTCTGGTGCATTTGCTCCCACATAATTCTCGAGACATTGGTCCTGTTCTTCACAGAACTTCTGTGTATGCTTAGGTTGACAGTGTAAGCTAGACATATGCTTACTAGCACATCATTTCCTTCTGCTGTCATTGTTTTTTATAGTAGCTTCATTACCCCCTCATGATTTGAGGAGTGTTACCTCATGTTCCAGATCCCCCACTATCTTTTTTTTTTGCCTTTGTTAACCACTTTACAAGTCTTTAGAATGAACCTTTTCATTACTTGATTCCCTTCATACTGTATCCAAAAACCATGTCCACCATGATTCCAGCACTCCTTCCTTATTCTACCCAATGGCCTCAAGTTTGTCTGGGTCTCTGTGCTATCCCCTCCCATGGAAGCTTCTGCCTCACAAGCTCACTAACCAAGGGCCTGCAGTGGCCTAAGCACACAATGGGCCTTAGTGAGAAAGAGATAGATGACAGTTGAGCGGATGTGGAACATCTATCCAGACCAAGGCTCTTTATTTTGTGATATCTGTACTCTGGCCAGTCAGAAACACTGTCTCTGTGCTCCAGGGACCATTGAGCTATGCCAGTTTTAAGGAAGGACTTCTGTTTTCTCATGGTGAATGTATCCTGTGTCATAGTGTCCATGGCATGAGGTACAACAGGGGAAGGTATACTCAGCTGCTCTGTGGGAATCCGTGTGGCACATATTTGAGACTGACTTCAGTCTGTCTCTCCCAAGTGGTTTCATCAGTGCCTTCTGTTACATCTTTCTCAGCTAATTTGGGAAGAAATCATTCTGCCTCTATTAACATCACTATTCTGGCAGAGAACTTTGTTATGGTTGAATTTCTACAAGTCTGTATGCATTTCACAGGAAAGGCCAGGGTCAGCCAGTTTTATGTTATGTTTGTAATCAAACTTATTATCTTTCTTTCTTTTGGTACTGGGGTTGAATTCAGGACCTTGCTCTTGCAAGGCAAGCACAGTGCCACTGAGCTAAATCCTCAGCCCCTTTATTATGTTTCTTGATTGTGTTCATTTCTTGTGGTAGAATTCTGTCTGAAAATAAACTTGCTAAATGTTGTTCCTAATAGTAAATACTAACCTCTTTTCAATATAATTTTTAAAGTAAACTTGCATAACTTTAAAGTTTTTACTTTATTACATGTCACCTCTCTTTGTTTGTCTCTTTATTTGGTTTCAGTACTTATTTAACTTGAGCTCCAAGCTATTTAAGCATTAGTCTGCTTTAATATACCATAGTATATAACCCTACAAATCCTTGAAATACTAAAAATTTGAACTTTATTCTCTAAGGACAAAGTGTACTTCGTTTTGAAATTTCTGCAATTTAAGCATAATTTGCCCCAGACTCATTTCCCTGGTTGACATCCAACCGTAGTACTCTTTTTATTGTAGTTCTCTTTTATCCATGAGGAATGTGTTTCAAGATACCCAGTAAGTATCTGAAATGGCACATGTTTACCCATACATATATTCACCTCTGATGAAGTTTAATATATAAACTAAGCACAGTAAGAGATTAACAGTCACTGGTTATAAAATAGAACAATTATAACAACACATTGCAAAAAAGTTTTCACTTTAGAGTCATTATGAAGGCAAATCAAGGTTACTTGCACACGGGCACTGCGAATGCCACAACAGTCCATCTGAACAGGGGGATGACTACTAAATGACAAATGAGTGACTAATGGGTAAGTGATGTGTACCCCAAGGATACCATGAACAAAGGGATGATTCACATCCCAGGTAGAATAGAGTGGGAAAGTGTGACATTCCGTCACACTAATCAGAATGGTGTGTAGTGTTAAATTCAGGACTAATTTAGTCCTGGAATTTTCCATTTAATATTTTCAGACCATGCTTTACCTCTGGTAACTGAAACTGCGGAAAATAATGCCATAGATTATGAAGGAATACTGTGTTATTATTGTGTATCTTGTTTCACTGGTTAGCTAAAAGAGAAAATATCACATGGTATATTTTGATTTTTCAGATTTTTGAAACCATTAAAATATTCAAAAGCTTTTCATGTATTAGTGACAAGAAAGTACAAGTATGTTAAGATATTTTTTACACCCATAGTCTATAATCTAGATTGATTAATGTTCTACAAAGCCTGATGTTAGCAGTAAATGAATTCTTATTGTCACATAGAATTCTTATTTTTAGCCTTTTTTAAACAAGTATTTGTACACAAATGTATAATTTTGCTTGCCTTTTCTAAAAGGAAATTTGTTTATTTTATTGATTTAAAATGTTTGCAATTTAAGTTGCACACTTCAGACATAAAGATGTTCTGTTTAAATAAGAAGAATTATTTATGATCTGTTTGGTTGTTTTTTGGTTTTTTGTTTTGTTTTTTTTTTTTAGTAGCATCTCTTTTCAATGGATATGGTCCTTGGCAACCTTTTCTGACTTGTTTCCTTAATTAATTAGAATTGGAAAATAGCCTTTTCTTTTTATCATTGTCAAGCCTCTATATCTTGCATTTTCCCTCTGTCCCTCCAC